ATACAGGTGTGCTATTTCAAAGGGACACAGGCACCCCAATGTTTACAGCAGCATTATCAACAATAGCCAAAGTATGGAAAGAGCCCAAATGTCCATTGATGGATGAATGGATAAAGAAGATGTGGTATATATATACAATGGAGTATTACTAGGCAATCAAAGAGAATGACATCTTGCCATTTGCAACTACGTGGATGGAACTAGAGGGTATTATGCTAAGTGAAATTAGTCAGAGAAAGACAAATATCATATGTCTTCACTCATATGAGAACTTTAAGATACAAAACAGATGAACATAAGGGAAGGGAAACAAAAATAATATAAAAACAGAGAGGGGGACAGAAACATAAGAGACTCTTAAATATGGAGAACAAACAAAGGATTACTGAAGGGGTTGTGGGAGGGGGGATGGGCTAAATGGGTAAAGGGCATTAAGGAATCTACTCCTAAAATCATTGTTGCACTATATGATAACTAACTTGAATGTAAAGTTAAAAAATAAACTAAAATAAAATAATAAAATAAAATAAAAACATAAACAAAATTTTTAAGGAAATTATAAAATACTTCTAGATGAATTAAAATGAAGACACAGCAGACCAAACCTCATGAGATGCAGATTAAGCAGTACTTGAGCTAAATCTTTAGCTGTAAATGTTTATAAAAGAAGAAAGATCTCAAGTCAGTCATCTTTTACTTTGAGAAACTAGAAAAAGATGAATAAAGGGAAACTAGGAAAAGATAAATAAACTAACCCCAAAGTAAGCAGAAGAAAATAAAGATTAGAATGGAAATTAATGAGGGGCGTCTGGGTGGCTCAGTCAGTTGGGCATCGAACTTTAGCTCAGGTCATGATCTCACATTTCATGGGTTCGAGCCACGTGTTGAGCTCTGTGCTGATAGCTCAGAGCCTGGAGTCTGCTTTGGATCCTGTGTCTCCTGCTCTCTCTTCACCTCCCCTGCTTGTCCTCTGTCTATTTCTCTCTCAAAAATAAATAAGCATTAAAAAAAATTTTTTTAGAATGTAAATTAATAAAATGGAGAATACCAAAGCAAAGGAGAAAAAAAAGCAACAAAATTGGAATTTGTTTTTTTTTAAAGATCAACAAAATTGGGAAATCTTTAGCTGGGCTTATCAAGAAAAAAAAAAAAAAACAAGATTCAAATAACTGAAATCAGGAATGTAAAAGCAGACATCACTACCAACCTTCAGAGATAACAAGGATTAATGAGAATATGATAAGTAATTATTTACCCATCAATTAGACAACCTTGGTGATATGGATGAATTCTTAGATGAAAACTATCAAAACTGACTAAAAAATAAACAGGAAATCTGAATAAACCTATAGCAAGTAAAGAGACTGAATTAGTAATCAAAAAACTTCCCACAAAGGAAACCCCAGGACCAGTTGACTTCACTGGTAAATTCTACCTAACACATAAAGAAAAAATAAAACCAAATCTTCACAAATGCAGCCCAAAAGTAGAGTAAGGAATACTTCCCAACTCATTCTAAGAGGATAGTATCATTCTGACATGATTATATACCATGATCAAATGGAATTTATACCAGAATATAAGACTAGTTCAAAATATGAAAATCAATTAATTTAATACCCCATGTTCATAGAATAAAGGACAAATCCAAATTAACATCTCAACAGAGGCAGAAAATCATTTGACAAAATCCAATATTCTTTCATGAAAAAAAAAATACTCAACAAACCAGGAATAGAAGGTAATTTCCTCAACCTGATAAAGGCCATCTAAGAAAAACCCACAGCTAACCTTATAACTAATGATGAAAGACTAAAAGCTTTCCCCAAAAGATTAGAAACAAGAAAAAAAAATGCCCAATCTTGCCACTTCTATTTAGGCTTTATTCAAGGTCTAGGCAAGAAAAAGAAATTAAAAAACATCCAGATTGGAAAGAAAGAAGTAAAACTAATCAAAGACAGCATGATCTTATATATGGAAAATCATACGGAATCTGAAAAACTTATTACAGCTAATAAACAAGTCCAATAAGGTCGCAGAATAAAATATCAGTATAAAAAAATCAATTGTATATCTACATGCTAGCAAAGCATAATCTGAAAATGATATTAAGAAAATAATTACATCTACAATACGAGCAAAAAGAATAACATACTTCAAGATAAATTTAAAAAAGAAATACAATATTGGTAAAGTGAAAACTATAAAACATGGTTGAAAGAAATTAAAGAAGATCTGAATAAATGGAAAACATCCCATCAAATGAAAGGCTTTTGTGCTTCAAATGACACTATCAAAAAGTGAGACAATAACCCATAGAATGTGAGAAAATATTTGCAAATCATATATCTGATAAGGAACTTGTAATATAGAATATATAAAGAGCTCTTAGAACAATACAAGATAACCCAGTTTAAAAATAGGCAAAATATTTCTCCAAGGAAGATATACAGGGGCGCCTGGGTGGCTCAGTCAGTTAAGCGTCCGACTTTGGCTCAGTTCATGATCTCACGGCTTATGAGTTTGAGCCCTGCATCAGGCTCTGTGCTGACAGCTTAGAGCCCAGAGCCTGCTTTGGATTCTGTCTGCCTCTCTCTCTGCCCCTCCCCCACACATGCTCTGTTTCTCTCTCTCTCTCTCTCTCTCTCTCTCTCTCTCTCTCTCAGAAAAAAAACAAACATAAAAAAAAAGAAGATATACAAACAGCCAATAAGCACATGAGAAGATATTCAACATCATTAGTCATTATGGAAATGTAAACCCAAACCACAAAAAATACCATTCCACCCCCATGAGGATAGCTGTAATAAAAACAGATAAATACATGCATTGGCAAGGATGTGGAGAAATCAGAACCTATAAGCAATGCTGGTAAGAACGTAAAATAGTTCAGTTGGTTTGAGAACAGTTTTACAGTTCCTCAGAAGTTAAACATTGAATTAACTATGTTCTAGCAATTCTACTCCTAGGTATATATCCAAGAAAATTGAAAATATATGTCCTCACAAAAAGTTGTATATGACTGTCCATAATAGCATTATTCATAATAGGCATAAATGTCCATCAGTTGAAAAATGGACATTCAAAATGTGGTATGTATCCATACAGTGGAATATTAATCAGCTATAAAAAGCGAATAAGTATTAATATCTGCTAGAGTATGGATAAATTTGGAAAACATGCTAAGTAAAAGAAACCATACGCAAAAGGCCACACGTATGATTCTATTTATATTAAATGTCTACATAGGCAAATAGAGACGGCAAGTAGATTTGTGTTTGCCAGGAGCTTGGAAGAGAAGAGAATGAGGACTACTAATGAGTACAGGGTTCATTTTGAGGCTGATGAAAATGTTCTGGAATTAGTGGTGATGGTTGTACATCTCTGTGATATAGTAAAAATCAATGATTTGCACATTCTAAATGGTAGGTTTTATGGTGTGTAAGCTAAATCTCATTACAAGGAAAAAAACGACCTATCTTAGATTTGTATTATATTATCTGATGTTCTAGAAGCCCCTAGAGTACTGAACTGGAGCTAGTTGAAAATCCTCAGTGAAAGAAGTCTGTGGCTGTTTAGTTCTTTTTTGTTTTAAGATGTTACCAACCCAAGGATCAGCCTCATGGGGCACTGAGCTCGCTTTGTGTCTCCCAAACTCCAGGCAAGAATATTTCCAGTGGTACCAAATAAAAGTATCTGTGCAACACCTCTGCACCATTGCAATAAAGAGTTCAAAGCACATCCTACCATAACTGGGTTTGCTGCATTCTCTCCATATACAAAGATGGAGAGAGTATGGTATCTCCATCTCCAAACAGGTATCAGGAGACCTGTTTTCTAATCTCAGTGTTGTGTTAACTTACTTAAACTTATACAAAATGGAGAGACTAGGGTATCTCCATCTCCAAACAGGTATCAGGAGATCTGTTTTCTAATCTCAACTCTGCCAATAACTTATTTAAGCCTCAGTTTCCTTATCTGTAAAACAAGTGGTTGGTACCAAAAGTCTCCAAGGTCTTTTCTAACACAAAGATTCTGAGATCCCAGGAAGGAAATCCCCTTCATCTCCTACTCCTCTCCTCCAACACACTCACCCATAAGTAAGAAACATTCAGCCATGACAACTGGACTATCATTTCTGGCCAAGAAGAGATGGGCTTTGTAGGGTGGCTGGCTAATGGAAAAAGAACAGAAAAAGAGGTGGAGCAACCCAAGAAATGATTGCACTGACTGGGATACTCAGAGACTAGAATCATCTTACCAAGCCAGTTTCCAGGTCTGTGAAGTTTGTAAGTTGGGGATTGCCTCTATGGGGTCCTGATTCTGCTCAATAGAGAAAGTTCAATAGATGCCCACGGAATACCTACTCTATACTGCCAGTCCTCGGTACATGCTTTTTCCTCTGGCAGCACAGGGCAGGTGTCCATGCTGCTGCCTTTTTTCGGTCCCCTTTATAGCTGGAGTCTCTTACTTCCATCTACAGTCCACCCTCAATCTGATGCTTTTCTCAGTTATCTAACTACTTGAGATGACCGCCTCCCAGCATGGCCAACCCACCGGCCAGGGCCCAGGGATGGGTTCAGAGAAGATAGTAAGGAAAAGCACACCATGCCAGTGCTACTCCAGTGAATCTGCATCTTCAAATGCTTCAAGCAGCATGCTCATTGGATGGATAGTCAGATGGCCATCCCACTCCAGGGACTTGTTCCCTTCCAACCCTGAGGAAGAGGCAGTGCCTATAGGCACCAAGCTGCGCACCCCAAGGGATGGGAGCATTTCCCCCAGACATGGTTGAAGAAGTCTGAATGAGAATGTCACGTACAACCCCTTACAATGCTGAGGCCACCCATCTCTCTGTTTAACTTAGCTTCTGAAATCATTCTTGATAATGAGATCTGCCATGCCTCTATTTTATTTCCTGCTGTACAGTAGATTAAGGAGTAAAGTCCACTGTGAGAGCCTGTAAAATGAAGGTGACAGTGATCAAGAGTAGCCATTACCTGGAATATGACTTGACTTGGTTCTTGGCCTTCAAAAATAGAAAATGTCATGGGTTTCAGGGGTCCACTAAACTTCCTCTCCTGGCCATATCCAGCCGTCTGTTAAAAAAGGAAATAAAAAAAGAAAATTGGCATACCCATCATTATGAATACATACATGCCACTTGCTAATTTTATTATGGCTTCTAGGACTGATATAGAAGACATAACATTCTAACCTAGTCAAAACAATGCAAAGTATAGTCAAAACAGATAGAAAGAGATCTGATATTGTTGAGTTTCACTATATCAAGAGGGCTTGCCATGAGTCTTGTGCTATTTTTCTCCTTTAACCATTCAAGCAATCCCCCTGTAGAGAGAATATTAACACTCCCATGTTACAAATGAGGCTCACAGAGGTGAAGCTACTTGCCCAGAGTAAATGCCTTAAGTGGTTGTCAGGGCACACACACTAAGATCTAACTGAACAAAAGCTTCTATCTGCCCACAATGCCACTCTGTCTTCTAAATACAACACAGTGTTAAATCAGCTTCTTAAAACACCTTTCCTCCACTCCTATTCATTTAGAAGGACATTTATGGAAGATTCCCAGCACCCTAGAGTTCATGGTCACTTCAAGGACAACTAAATTTATAAGGGAAAAAAATATTTAGATGTGTTGAGTACAGTGCTTACTTGGTACAACTGTAACTTCAAGAAAAGCTTACTATTTTAACGTTTGATTAGCAATCCATGCTCATACAGGAAAAAAAAAAAACCAAAATGTTTACTTCAAGTAACTAAGACATTTCTAAAGCCAAAAGACCTTGAATTTGACAGGCAAGAAACCTCTGCAGACACCCAAATTCAGGCTGGAATAGCAGTATGTGGTGGCTGGGACAGTAAGAAGAGAAATTAGTTATGTCCCGAACTCAGTCCTAAAAACAGTTAATCCTGACAACCACCTGGGGACAAATTATTACTGCCAGCTCCGTTCTACGGGCAATGAGACTAAGATGCTGAGAGGGTAAGCAGTTTGCCCAGGTGCTGACAGGAAGCAGGATTCTAACCCATTGCAACTCTGCAATGGCTGCCCGCAGCTGCTATGCCCCACTACCTACCAGAAGGAACAAAAAAGGACCAAGACAATCTGACAGGAAAACAGGTGACATCAAGGATGTACAGGAGGGTATGACTCCCACCATTCCCAACCCAGGAGGATGGGGAGCATCCAGTGGCAACCCCTGCCATCCCTCCATGTCCCACCACAACTATCCTTCTAAAGTGAGACAGAGCATGACAGGTGGCACACAGGGGGACAGCCAGCCATCAACCCACCCACAGAGGGCGCCCTCTGGAATGAGGGATTTAGCACCTGTACCCAATGCTTCTTCTGTGGTTCTTCAGGTCTACTTGTGTAGAAATCATGGGTGGGATAGGTTAGGATCAGAAGTATAATATGAGGAGTTGATGGTTGGGGAGCTGGAGAGGTAAAGTCAAGAAAGTGTGAAGAACTCGGGGGAAGAGAATTGTTTGCCACTTCTTCAGGGAGAGCAAGTACACTCTTGGGATGGACATGCTGAGAATAAACCAAGAACAATCAGTATGAGAGTTTGGGGGAAGGCCTTCCACTATATCCCTTGGTTCACTGAATTTCAATTAACTTGATACTGGTTGTCTGTCAGATGAAAACACAGAGGGCTTTGGAATTTGGTCTCCACTCCCTCAGATTGTGGAAGGCCCATGGACTAGCTGCCCCCAGCCATCACCAACCTCTCTCTTTCGGGAAGCCAAGAGGTCTCTTTCCCAGACTCCCCTGCAGCTAGCAGGGAGCTGAGTGACTTAGTTCTGGCTCCTGAAACAAAAGGTGAAGTCTACTGGAGGGTTTCTGGTCAAGCTTCTATTTTCCAATGAAAAAGGACAGATGTGGCCAGCATTGTCACCCCCCTTCCCCGTTGTTCTTGCTCAGACCATGGACCACATGTCTATGGCTGTGGTGGCCATCATGAAACCACAAGGGAACAAATCAGCTCAAATAATGGTGGAGCGAAGAGAATGATGCCCAAGTCTCTGATAATATCACAGAAATGCAAAACCTGCCTTGGGCTGTCCACTTCAGGCTTCTCGTTATCTGAGGAAATAAACCTCGACTTACTAGAGCCACTCCAAAGTTGAACTTTCTATTGCCTATACTAAAAGCATCCTTAACTGACACAATAACATTATAGACTTCTAGCTCATCAATTCCTTTAAGGGAATATCTTCCTCTGGGGGCTCTTTCTCCCCTGCACTCCTTTTCCACATATCCTCTGGAGGGCAGGACACAAGAACTGGGTGCAGATGTCCAGGCACCACCATGGTTGGTACAAGATAAGAGCAGTGGTTTCTGTGGGATCATGATTTAACAGCAAACTGCCTTCATCAACTTTCTGCTCATGTCAGCAAGCGGCCAGTCTTTCAGCAGCTCACACTAGTAATGGCATCCAGAAGAAACTCCCATTAGTCGAGCAAACCTCACAAACAAGGCTGTGTTCTTCCTGCGAGGACAAGCTGGCTCACCTATCGGGACAGGAGGGTATATCTCAGTTGCAAGGTTCAAAGTTGCATTCTCGTAACAGGGCAGCAAATCTCCCACATGCCCATTAACATTTCTATTTGGGCTATAAAGATTTCAAAATGCGTGTGTGTGTTCTGAGTCATCAAGCCACATTGCCCGAACTGGGAAAGGTGGTGTGGGGGAAACGAGAAAGAAAAGAAGGTTCATGCAGGAGTTGGAGAGGTAACACCTACCATCCTGCACGAAGTAAAAGGAAGGGAAGAGAATAGAACTGTCATTTTTTAAATGTTTCCTGTGCAGCAGCTGTGGGACTAGACCCTCCACACGTATCATCTCTTCTGCTCCTCAACAAGATCAGGAAAGTATGTCCAGAAAAGTGCCACAGCGGAGACACAGATAATGTGGGATGAAGCCAGCTCTGTGGCACCACCGAGCCCCAACTCTGAGCCACGTCGCCACACCCTTCCAGACCAGCACAGGATACATGGGACTGCTAGGTCTGCCTACCGTGTAGCCACCCTCCTTGTACTTCCCAGCAAGAGTTCTCTGCAGTAATTACATAGTATTTATGCCAAGCCCCCCTTACTTCTAGAAGAAGTACAATCCCAGGCAAAACTCTAAAACAGGTGGCTTCTCCTTGATTTCCCTACCTAACTATACAGCACACCCCTTCCCAAACCCTGGTCACTTACTTGCTTTCTCTTCAGGGCCCTTGCAATATACTCAGGCAATGTTTCGTGCCCCTGACGGAAACCAGTGCTCAGGAGAGAACAGGAGAGCCACTTGCTGAGCAAATGACTGAGGGTGAGGGGCGCCTGGGGGGCTCAGTCAGTCAAGCGTCTGATTCTTGATTTTGACTCAGGTCATGATCTCACAGTTGGGAGATCAAGCCCCACCTCAGGCTGAACATGAAGCCTGCTTAGGATTCTCTTTTTCTCTCTCTCTCTGTTCTTCCCCCACTTGTTCGTTCTCTCTCTCTTTCTTTCAATAAAATAAATAAGCATTAAAAAAAATTTTTTTAAATGACAGGGGGTGGTGGGGTGGATGGTAGCAACTCCCTTCCTTCACCTGACACAGCTGTGCATGTGGCTATCTCCTGGGCAAGGCTCTTGCTGCCAGCAATGGTTTGGGAACTATTTCTTACTCTAGGTAGAAATCCCACTGGCCTGAGAGTAGAGAGAAGGAAAACTTATATCCAACGTTTTATCCAAGAAAAAAAAAATGCATGTCTCCTTCTCAGACAAGATAAGCCCACTATTATCAAATTATCATGATAGAATCTTGTCTTAGATCTTGCTGTCTCCTAATATAAGTCCATGATTATGGACTTAATTTCTACCCTGTTCCTGGCATGGTGCTGCATGCTGAGGCTGCAAAGATGACTAAAAGATAGTTCTCCTCATGGAAGTCAAGGTCCATATGAATGTAGACACTGAATATTTAAAATGCTGTAGTAATAATAATAGCCAATATTTATCTAGTACTTAGACTGGGCCAGTCACTGACCAAAGGGCTTTATATAAATGCACTAGCTCATTTAATGGCCACAACAACCAATAAGGCAAGTACTCTTTTAAGACCCATTTCATGGGGCAGGAAACTGAGGTTCAAAACTTAACTATCTCACCCAAGCTCCTATCACTAGTAAGTGGCACTGCCACTTTTGTACCTAGGTCTGACTTCACTACCACCCTGTGATAAGACAGATAGCAAAGGGCATTCAATAGGGTAAGAAGAGGAGACAGGTTAAGAGGGGATGTTTGACATACTCCAAGCAGCCCTTGTGTCTGGCTTTGAGCCCCCAGTGTATGAGGAGGCACATCGCTCATAAAGTTGGAACCGCAGCTTCCTTCTCTCCCCCGGGAGGAAGGCTCTGGTGGGTTTACAAGTTTGGCTCTGTTTCATTATGTCAATATTCTGAACTTTGAGGACTCTAGGAGGCTCTCAGGAACTTAGAATTTGATGCTATTTTTGGGTCCCAGAAGAAAAAAAACAAGATTTGAAATGTGAGGGTCTAGCAACTTCCTTCTAAAGAGAAAGCAGATGCTTCCCCATAATCTTGCCTCCTAATACAACAGACTGTTGGGCAAGCGTATGACCTTTATGAGACTCATGAGTAAAACAACAATGACACCCCACTATCTACCCAAGATTGAGGGCTGGGTCTCTCCAGAGTCCATCCAGCTCTAATTTCTAGAAGCCTGTTAGTCAACAGGGTTGACTCAACAAATGGCTAAAGACAACTTTGACCAGAAAACTCCAAACCA